ATCCTCTCAACTATTCAGAACTATTTAGTAAACGCTTGTGAGGGGTGGCGGCTCGGTGCTTGGCACGCCCACTTCCCATTTCGTAGTGTGGTTTGAGTCCTGGCTCTACTCCTAATTTCAGTTTAATGCTCCCCTTGGGGGCAGCAAGTGACGGCTCAAGTACTTGGGTTCCTACCACCATATGGGAGACCAAGATCAAATTCTGGTGTCTGGATCAGCTTCCCTCCACCCCATCCCCCACAGTGTTGGAGGAGATTTGGGGAGGAAAGTAGCAGACAAGAGATTTCTGCCTATCATCCTGTTTCTATGGCTCGCTTTCTCACTCTCTTTCAAATAAATAAATAGCAATTTTTGAATCTGTAAGATATGCCAGGCAATGTACTGAAACTAGAGATTAGTGTCGGAAACATGTCTGGCATTTTTAGTTGGCATTTTGTAAGCTTTCCTCTTGGAAATGAAGTTAATTCTTATGAAAGAATGCCTACAAAAGAAAATCTATTAATCCTCTATCTAAAGTACAGCAAAATTTGTTGAAACTGTTTTAATCACCCTCTCCTTATGTAAGCTAATGATTCTGTAATGACTGGCCAAACATTTATGAGTATCTAAATTTAAATGTTAGAGTCACATAATATGAACATTTTACAAATTGACCTTTTGTTTTGATGCTTTTATTGATCATAATTGTTTTTTAATATTTATTTATTTTTTTATTGGAAAGACAGATATACACAGAGGAGGAGAAACAGAGAGGAAGATCTTCTGTCCGGTGATTCACTCCCCAAGTGGGTGCAATGGCTGGAGCTGAGCCAATCCGAAGCCAGGAACCAGGAGCTCTTCCAGGTCTCCCCCATGGGTGCAGGGTCCCAAGGCTTTGGGCCGTCCTCATCTGCTTTCCCAGGCCACAAGCAGGGAGCTAGATGGGAAGTGGAGCTGTTGGGATTAGAATCGGTGCCCATATGGGATCCCAGCACATGCAAGGCAAGAACTTTAACCACTAAGCTATCACGCAGGACTCCTATCATAATTGTTTTAATGTTGGCAACATTTTAAGTCATTTTGAGGGAAGAGGGATTGGAGGCATGGATGCCCTGCTTAGTTACTCAAGGGACAAATCCACTGAAAGAGAAATTACAGATGTAATTTATACAGAAACAATCACCTAAGCCAATGATGCAGATTTAGTGAAAGAAACAAATGTCTTTAATGAGCTGATTAAACAGATGGCGAAAGAGCTTCTGTGAAAGTCTGAATCACATATAATCTGTTGCCATTATCAATGACTTACTCAGTTCTGTGTCACTTAAAGACACAAACTCTGAAGTTAGAGCACAATGCTTGAAACCCAAACTCTGCCCTGTGGGTCAATGACCTCTTATGCATTATAAGAGGGAGGGCCTGGTGCAGTGACTTAGCGGCTAAAGTCCTCGCTGCTAAAGTCCTCACCTTGAATGTGCCAGGATCCCATATGGGTGCCAGTTCTAATCTAGTAACCCCCAATTCCCATCCAGCTCTCTGTTTGTAGCCTGGGAAAGCAGTTGAACTCAGCCCAAAGTCTTGGGACCCTGCACCTGCGTGGGAGACCGAGAAGAGCTCCTGGCTTAGGATCGGCGCACCTGGCCACTTGGGGAGTGAATCATCAGACAAAAGATCTTCCTCTCTGTCTCTCTTCCTCTCTGTATATCTGACTTTGCAGTACAAATAAAATAAATCTTAAAAAAAAAAAAAGAGTAACAATCATACCTGGCATTGGAGGTGAAGAGGACTTAATGCATTAATAGATGTTCAGTGACTGGACTAGCATCTGGCAAGTGGAAACCACACAATGAACCGAAGCTATTCAGTGGAAGGAAGGGGTGTCTCTCACAGCTTCAGATTGCTTTGCTGCGAATCCTGCCTTTGCTTTTCTGAGTGTAAGCTCAAATATCTGCATGGATGAATGTTTCATATTGTATAGAGGAAGGTCTAAAACTTGGGTAGCATAAAGAGAGTAATCATGAATTGTGCTACTTTTGAGTCACTTCAGATGTAACAAACTTTTGCTTTTCTAAAACCATCTTCTGTTAGTTAGAATTAAGACTGTTCATTAATGAGCACCATAAAACCCCTTCTACTTCTTAAAATGGTTGCTTCACAGACACCTTAGCCTTGAGTGACTGGTTATGAACTTCTAAAATTTCTTAACCCAATAGGCAGGATGTGGAGCTGGCATTGTGCATAGCAAGATGAGCTGTGCCATAAGAGACCCCCATCTCTAAGCACTGGCTTAAGTTCAGCTCCCCAACTCCTGACCCAGCTTTAGTTGGAGTGAGAGCTAGTGAATGGAACATTGCTCTGTTTCTTCCTTTCTGTCAGTCTCTTTCAAATAGATTTCTTTCTTTAAAAAAAGAAAGACAACACAAGGTATTGTACCTGTATTCCTGAGAAAACTTAAGTGAAAAACAAAGATTGTGGGGCTAATTAACTTTTTTTTGCATTAACTAAGTTTTTTTAAAATCCATTTCTTTTAATCATTTGGTTTTTGGAGTCTATTTTTATTATTTTTTTAAGATTAATTTTTATTGGAAAGTCAGATATACAGAGAGGAGGAGAGACAGAGAGGAAGATCTTCCATCTGATGACTCACTCGCCAAGTGGCCACAACAACCAAAGTTAAGACAATCCGAAGCCAGGAGCCAGGAGCTCTTCCAGGTGTCCCACGCAGGTGCAGGATCTCAAGGTTTTGAACCATCCTTGACTGCTTTCCCAGGCCACAAGCAGGGAGTTGGATGGGAAGCGGGGCCACCAGTTTGGGATTAGAACTGGCGCCCTTATGGGATGGTATCACATGCGAGACAATGACTTTAGCCATGAGACTATCGCCCTTGGACCCTATTATGGTTTTTAAGTATAGGTTTGTTTATTTATTTATTTAAAAATTGATTTATTTGAAAGGAGGAGTTACAGGCACAGAGAGATGGAAAGACAAAAAGATCTTTCTTCAGCTGGTTCACTGTCCAAATGTCTGAAACAGCTGGGTCAGGCCAAATCCAGGAGCTAGTGGCTTCATCTGGATCTCAGAGGAGTGGCAAGGGCCAAAGCATCTGGGCCATCTGCTGCTGCTTTCCCAGCCACATTAGCACAGAAACCGAGCTGCCAATATCTGAAGTGGTGCTCCAATGTGAAATGCAAGTGCCACAAGAGGCATCTTAACCCACAAGGTCACAATGCTGGCGCCTAGATTGGTACTTTTTTTGTTGCAACTGATAAATTGCAAATTGATACAAATTATTGCATTTCATAATTTCACTTGGGTTCACTTTTTGGTGTTGTATATTCTGTGGTCTTTGATAATGTACAATGATATATATGTTCTTTTGGAGTGCCATACATATTGGGAAGCTCAACCTTTCCACCTCCCGCCCCCCAAAGTCCTCAGCTGGGGCTGATGTAGGCCCTATTAACAGGAGGAAAAGACACAAAACAAACTCTGGAGGTTTCAGACAAAAAATGAAGACCAAAGAAGTGGTTAGGGGTTAAGTGCTTCCACCAGACTGAACACCAACTGGAAGTGGAAAGGTAAGTAGGAAGGTAAGGCTTCATTTAATATGGTTTCCACGGACCTCTCGCAGCTCCCATTGCCTAACATCATTGGCTGGAATGTTTCTTCCCTCCCGGCTTGAGGAGGTTGTCTGTCATGTGGGAGTTTCATTTCTTGCTTTCAGAAAGAAAAAGAAGAGGTCAGAATGCCCTTCTTGCACCTGCTGACTTTCCAATGCCTTTAGCTTAAACTAATCAATACAAAATGACATATTTGGGTGTGGCAGGTTCTGATCTCTTTCACCTAAGGCTTCGCTGCTTTGAAAATGCCCTCTAGTCTGCCTCTGCGTTACTTCCCTTTCTCCCAAGCCCTGCCAATTACTGATTTTCTTAATGTCTTCATGGTTGTGTTTTTTTCCAGGATGGCATATAGCTGGAATCATGCAGTATGTGGCTTTCCAGTTGGGTTTCTTTCACCTAGCAGCATGCATTAAGGTTCCTCTGTATCTTTTCATAGTTCAGTAACTCGTTGCCTCATATTGCTAATATTCCATTGTGTAGATATATCATAGGTTTTTTTTGTTTATTCACCTACTGCAGGACATCTTGGTTACTTTGGCAACTATGTTTTTTTGGCAACTATGAATAAGGCTGCTATAAACACTTACATGCAGGACTTCGTGTGTCTATAAGCTTTTGACTCATTTGGGTAAATATCAAGGTACACAACTGCTAGATGATATCACCAGAGTATGTTTGGTCCTGAAAGGAATGTCCCTTCTAAAGAGTCTACACTATTTTGCATTCCTAACACCTGTGAACAAGAGTTTGTTTTTTTTTTTTTTTTTTTTTTTGCTCCATATCCTTGCCAAATTTGGTGTTGTAGGTATTTTTCCTTCTGGTCATTCTAAAATGTATATGCTGATAGCTCTTTCTTCTTTTACTTTGTAATTCATTGATAACATATGATGTGGAACATCTCATCATGTGCTGATTTGCCCAGCATATACTTTGAAGAACTGTATGTACAGATCTTTTGCCTTCTCTTCAGATTTAAATTTTTTCTCTTGTTGAATTTTAAGCATTCTTTACATATTTTGGATACCAGTCTTTAAGAGTTAGGCATTTTCCAAATATTTTGTGCCAATTTATGACTTGTCTTTTCAATATCTTAACAGTATCTCTCTCAGAGCAGAAATCTGTAATTTTCATGAAATTCAAATAAACAATGTTTCCCTTATGAGTTTTGCTTTGGCATCACATCTAAAAAGTCATCAGCAAACTCTAAGTCAGTTAGTTTTTATTCCATTATCTTCTATGAGTTTTATATATTTAATTTTTACATTTGATTTGTGATTTATTTTGAGACACTTTTTTTTTGTTTGGGGTAGAAGGCCTGTGTTGCAGATAATTTTTTTTTTCTATCTTGATGTGCAATTGTTTCAGCACCGCTGGTTGAAAAGACTGTCCTTTTCCACTAAATTGCCTTTGTTCTTCTGTCAAAGATCTGTTGACAGTACGTGTGTGGGTCTACATCTATTCTGTTCCATTAAGCTATTTAGCCATTACATTCTGGCTTCATTGTTGGAGCTGTGTGCTGGGTCTTAAAGCAGGGTAGTATCATGTTAGTCCACTGTTCTTGTTCAATATTGTGCTGACTCTTTTACGTTTGTTTGTTTGTTTGTTTTTGCCTTTCCACATAAACTTCAGGATCAGTTTACCAATATTTAAAAATGGCTTGCCAGGATTTCAATTGTGATTTTATTGAATCTAGGTCAAGTTGAGAAGAACCAATGTCTTGACAGTGTTGAATCTTCTTACCAATGAATGTGGAATAAATCCCCATTTATTTTGAGCTTTGTCCATTTATTTTTTCAGATTTTAGATTTTTCTCATATAAATCTTGCATGTATTTTGTTGAATGTACATCTGTCTCATCTTTGATGCTAATGTTAATACTGTTTTAATTTCACATTTCAGTTCTTCATTGTCCCATACAATTTTATCTGGATAAGAAAATTTTTGCTTGAAAATGCTTTTTTGAGCACACTGTAATTCTTCTCTACAACAGAAATATACACATATCAGTAGACTGTGACATTGTCACATGAACAATGTTCAGAATGATGGCTCTTTCCTGCTGCCACCGCCGAGCCGTGCGAAGGCCAGGCCTGAGTGCGTTCATGATTCGGCTTCACTCGTAACCCACCGCCATGGCCGAGGAAGGCATCGGTGCTGGAGGTGTAATGGACGTGAACACTGCTTTACAAGAGGTGCTCGAGACCGCCCTCATCCACGATGGCCTCGCGCGTGGCATCCGTGAAGTGTCTAAAGCCTTAGACAAGCACCAAGCCCACCTCTGTGAGCTGGCATCCACTTGTGATGAGCCCACGTATGTCAAGTTGGTGGAGGTCTTGTGTGCCAAACACCAGATCAACCTCATTAAGGTTGATGACAAGAAGAAACTTGGAGAATGGGTAGACCTCTGTAAAACTGATGGAGAGGGGAAACCCGGTAAAGTGGTTGGCTGCAGCTGCATAGTCATTAAGATCTATGGCAAAGAGTCTCAAGCCAAAGATGTCATTGAAGAATACTTCAAATGCAAGAAATGAACAAATAAATATTTGGCTCATTAAAAAAATATATATAATGGTTCTATTGCAGTAGTTTTCAAACTGGGATATAGTAGGCCTGGGCTTCCCAAAGCACGCGTATTTGGCATGAACTCCTGCCCCTGCTTCTGATCCAACTTCCTTCTGATGCTCACCCTGGAAGGCAGCAGATGATGGCTTAGTTGCTTGGGTTCCTGTCACTTACACCAAGTTTCAGCTTCCAGACTTTTGCCTGGCACAGCCCCAGTTGTTGGAGGCATTGGGATGTGAAGCAGCATTTGCAAATTATTCTCTTTCTCTCTCTCTCTCTTTTTTTAAGATTTATTTATTTTTATTGGAAAGACAGATATACACAGAGGAGGAGAGACAAAGAGGAAGATCTTCCATCTGTTGGTTCACTCCCCAGGTGAGTGCAACGGCTGGAGCTGAGCCATTCCGAAGCCAGGAGCCAGCAAGTGTTTCCAGGTCTCCTATGCGAGTGCAAGATCCCAATGCTTTGGGCTTTCCTCGACTGCTTTCCCAGGCCACAAGCAGAGGGCTGGATGGGAAGTGGAGCTGCCGGAATTAGAACTGGTGCCCTACATGGGATCCTGGTGCATTCAAAGTGAGGACTTTAGCCACTAGGCCTCAGCACCAGGTCCTCTGTGTCTCTCTTTTTCTGGTGTTCTACCTTTCAAAAAATAAAGGCAAATATATAAACTTAAAAGATGCTTTCCATGATTTATGAGTGATATTAAGGGAGTTGGTTTTATGAGAAAAATTATGCTTCATATTTTCTATTACTTGCTTAGGTGACATTTCATAGTTATCTATTATGTCATATGCAGTAGGATACTGGACACGTACAAGTTAAGGCCAATTTCGTCAAAAAGGTTTAGAACAACATATTTTAAGAATGATTTGCAAACAAAAGCACAAGGCCCGAGCCATGTAGGGGAGTAACCTAGAGCACCCAAGCATGGTCACTACGTTGAGTGAATGGATGACTAGGGAGTCAACAATGGGAACACAAACTCCCACGTTGTGTTTTACATCAGTGTGCCTTTAACTGTGCAGGGGAAGCAACCTGTTTTAATCTGGCATTCTCTCCACGCTAGGCTGAGAGGACATCGTTATAGCTTCAGATTCTGGCTCATTTGAGGGCTTACTGATTCTCAAACAAGTACTTGTTAAGTCCTTCCTAGGTGTCACTCAGCACTGGGCTCAGTGATCAGGAAGGTGGTTACAGTTATGATTTTCATGCACTAGAATACTTTCTGAGGGGGGACTGTCCCGTAGATTGCAGGATAAAAGGGCATAATAGGAAATATACAGTATATAACAAGAACACACAGGCGGGGTGGCTAACTCAAAGAATATGTGTGTGTGTATGTGTGTATATACGTGCATATACAGGGAAGAAATAAAATAATTACAACATTTTTACAATTAAAATAATTAAACTTATTAATTTGAAAAGTAGAGGGAGAAAAAAAATCAAGAACAAGTGAAAGAGCAAATGCTTTCATGCCCTGGCTTATTTCCCAAATGTCCACAGCAGCAATGGCTGGGCTAAGCTCAAGCCTAGATCCTGGAAATCACCCACAGTCTCCATGTGGGTAGCAGAGTGATGGATCCATCACTGCTGTCCTCCTAGGCTGCAGGAAACTGTGTGGGAAGCAGGTCTGGAATTTGAACCCAGGAACTCCAATATGGAATGTACATACCAAGCAGAATTTTGGCTAAACATCCCTGGCCCAACCTCTCCCCACACCCACCTACCATACAGGCAACCCACCTAACCAAAAAACAAAGAGAAGTAGAGACAAATTGAATCTTGATTAATGAACATTTGAGGAAGATAACAAAGAGCCTAAGGAAACTGTGGGTTGACATAATCCTGGAATGAAGATAAGGTCAGATTTTAAGGTATTTGAATTTGTTTATAAGAAACATTAATGGAGGCTGCCGCATTTGCTCAACTGGCTAATCCACCTTCAAGTGCCAGGATCCCATATGGGCACAGGTTTGTGTCTCAGCTGCTCCACTTCCCGTTCAGCTCCCTGCTTGTGGCCTGGGAAAGCAGTTGAGAACGGCCCAAAGCCTTGGGACCCTGCACCCTGAACCTGACTTTGGTTCGGCTCATTCCAGCTGCTGTGTCCATTTGGAAAGTGAACCCACAGATAGAAGATCTTTGTCTCTCCCTCTCTATATAACATCTCCCTTTCCAATAAAAACAAGTAATTTTTTTTTTAAAAAAAGCAGCTCTGATGGGTTTTAAGTAACATAAAGGTCATTCTCAGTAAATTATTTCTGAAGAAGAGGCTGACTGGGTTTGTTAATGGAGTCTCAGACATCTTATCACTTAGAGATTGATATGACTGTCATGCCTTCTGCCTTTGCTTGAGGGTGTTTTATTTCACATGCAATGCCCTTCACTTTTCTCCAGAAGACTCAGTTCAGATTCTATCACCTCCAAGTTTTCCAAATATCTTCAACTAGTGATTAAATTTGACCACTGCATAAGGATTTATTTCTATCACAATTTTGAAAGAAGATTTATTTATTTGGAAGGCAGACTTACAGAGAAAGAGACAAAGAGAGTTTCCTCTGCTGGTTCACTCCTTAGAAGAACATAAAACAGCCTGAGCTGAAGCCAGGATCCCAGAACTCCAGCCAGGTCTCCCACGTGGGTGCAGGGCCACAAGCATGTGGACCATCTTCCCCTGCTTTCCCAGGTGTATTAGCAGGAAGCTGGATCAAAATGGAAGCATTGGGATTTGTACCATTGCTCAACAGCATAAGCAGCAGCTTAGCCTACTGTGCCAGAATTTGGTTCCTATAACACAATTTTAGTGGCTATATATTACTGCATAATAAATTAGCCCAAATTTTACTGTTAAAATAACAACGCACACTTTCTAGTCCCACAAAGAGTAGAATCGTGGGCGTGGCCTACCTGGGTGATTCACAGAATTTTTTCAGGTTACAAGATGCCAGCGGGGTCTACTTGATGTGTTTTGGGACTGAAGTCCTTCGTATTGGCTTACTCCCAAGGCTGGCAAGTTAGCATTAGCTGTTTGAGGACGTCTCAGTTCCCGGCACGTGTTCCTCATTTCTGGGCTTGTTCTTCTATGAGTGAGTGGAAACTTCATCCAGAGTGGAAACCAGAAATGTCTTCCATGATTAAGCTTCAGAAGCCATACGTTGCTGCTGAGCCACTGAGCATGAGCTCTGTTCATGAGAGGGTCCACACGTGGTGAGAATGCCAGGGGGTAAAGAAACTTAAGGGCCCTTGGAGGCTGGCTAACATGACAATGGTCACAGTCACCTCATTAGGAGTTACTCTGGCATCTGGTTCCATCCCCCACCCTAATTGTCTCACCTTTTTGTCATTATCGACCCTGCCATGGAGTCTCCTTTTGGACGGTTTTCCCAATTGCACCCCATCTATGACACACACATGAAATTCTTTTTTTTTTTTAAGATTTATTTATTTTTATTACAAAGTCAGATATACAGAGAGGAGAAGAGATAGAGAGGAAGATCTTCCATCTGATGATTTACTCCCCAAGTGACCGCAAAGACTGGTGCTGAGCCGATCCAAAGCCGGGAACCAGGAACCTCTTCCGGGTCTCCCGCGTGGATGCAGGATCCCAAAGCTTTGGGCCGTTCTTGACTGCTTTCCCAGGCCACAAGCAGGGAGCTGGATGGGAAGTGGAGCTGCCGGGATTAGAAATGGCGCCCATATGGGATCCCGGCATATTCAAGGCGAGGACTTAAACCACAAGGCCATGGCGCTGGACCCATACATGAAATTCTAATACTGTTTTATATTTGATTATGTACGGTGATAAATATCTGTTCTTTACAAATAAAATGAATTTTTTGTTTTCATACCACACACAGGAAACAATTTCCATTCCTTGGAGGTGATACAAACCTTTTTGAAGCTGAGAATATGCAAAGCAGGCTGAGAACTAAAAATCCAGGAGAGCAAGGATAGACATTTTTTAAAAAGATAATTATAAATATATTTTGAATTTTTAAAAAGAGACGTATTTTTCCTTTATTGGAAAGTAAATATACAGAGAAGAGACAGAGAGGAAGATTTTCCAATGACTGATTCACTCCCTAAGTGGCCACAATGGGCCAGAGCTGTGCTGACTCAAAGCTGGGAGGAACTGGTGCCCATATGGGATCCCAGGACATGCAAGGCGAGGCCATACCCACTAGGCTATCGCGCTGGACCCAGGACAGACATTTTCACTGGCACGTTACTTAGTGCTTTAAACAGAGTATAGTAGAAACTGTTTGTTTTAAAATCTGAGCAAGGTGAGGAAGCAGAGAAATGTTATCCAGTAAGAGTGGGAAACAGATGTGCCACTGACCATCGTGTAAATAGAGCTCCTCCTGGGAACGTGTGAGAGAAAGAACTGTCAACATTTTCTGAGGGACTGAATCTGTCAGTCTTGTTCAATGCAGAGTAGAACTGTTCCTGACATATTCTTAGCCATTCAATACGTACTTTTTTCAACAAATAATTCACCAGAATGACTACCGAGTGGAAGTCAGCATCTGCGAATCCTAAGGCTGTTTGATCACATGAAAATGAAAGAATTCGTTAAGAATAAATCTCCTTTCCTGTTCCCAGCAACTCAACAGTCAAGAAGCTCCTAGCATTACTCCACCGTTCAAGGGAGGACTGAGGCACGTGTGGACACCCACAGAGCAGAGTGATAAAAGTCAGAGGGGAAGGAGGCGCTCTTATTTCTGTGCTGCTTTTCCGGCTTGCTCGTCTCCTCCTACTGTCAAGTATCCTCGGGCAGCAAATGTGTAGGCCCAGCTGAAATGTAGAAGATAAACATTTATTGAACACATGTACAAATTAGTCAAAACACCTGCCCTAAGGGACTGACAAGCCAGTATGACATACATATGAAGACATTTTTGAACTTGGTCTTGCTGGACCTGTCAGGTGGGGAAAGTATACCCAAAACTTGGAGGCTGTTCCCAAACAAGGTCAAAACTTGCTGCAGGAAGTAGTGAATGGCTCAGTTTTGCTGAAGGGAAGTTCAGACTTCAGCGAATTGTGGGTCAGAACACTGAAGAGATGGTAATTACACCGGGTGAGAGAAGCCAGAGTTAAAAAAAAAAAAAAGTGCCTGTTTTATGACTGCAGTATATAAAACTTGAACTAATATGCAGGAAGCAGATCAGTACAGTTGGCCCTCTCTCCCCACGGAAGTCACATCAGAAGGATCAAAGAATTTTTTATATGAGGGAGGTGAGCATTGGCAGATTTTGATATCTGGGGTGGGGGTGGTCTGAGACAATCAGCCCCGGAGGGACGTTTCGCTGGGGAGGAAGTGTAAAAGGCTGGGGGAAACTTGGGGTGCCGTCTCGATTGTGGTGGTGATTTCATGGGTGGAGTCCATGTCAACGCACATCGACTTGTACACTTAAATACGTGCAGTTTGCCTCTTTATCAGATTTCAATACAACGTAAATATCACTGCAGAGGGTCGGGTTTAGGAACTCAAAGTCTTTCGGGGGCAGAAAGACGATGCGTAGAAACCAGTGTTTTCAGGAAAATGGATTGTGGGCTTCCCAGTTGACAGGAAAAATCCTAAACTACCGCTCACAGCCAACCGGGGCCCGTCTGAGGGAAGACGCAGCCGCGTGTGTGAGACAAGGGGAGCAAAGTCAGGCGGTCAGGAGTGCCGAGTGCGCGCGTGTGTCTGTGGGGGGACATTCGGTGGGGGTAAAGGTAGTCCTGTGTCTTAAATCCGGGGGGACTGTTACTGGCAGGAACAGGGGAAGCCAGGGGAAGAACACGATTTAAAGTTAAGAAGATGACCGCAGAGTCTGGGCAGAGAGAATAGGATTTTTAAGAAGCCTCTTTCCACAAGACGGGGCAGGAAGCTGCGCGCAGGCGGACACCACGCCGAGAGAGCCCTGGCACCGTCACCCTCCGCCACTGCTTCCCCGAGTTCCGCCCGGGGAGGTCCGGCCGACTTCTCGGCAGCGGGCGAGGACCCGGAGACCGCGGCGCCCGCCTCGGGCAACCCCGGCCACGAGGAAGGAGGCGGCCGAGCCCCGAGCGCGCGCGCGCGCGCGCGCACAGAGGCGGCCCCGCCAGCGCGGGAGCGCGCGCCCTCCACGTGACCCGCCCCGCGGGCGGCGACGCACACGACGCGCCCCTCACGTGGTCTGTCTTCGGCCCGGTCGCCGGCGGAGGCGGGCGCGGGCGCGTCCCTGTGGCCAGTCACCCGGAGGAGTTGGTCGCACAATTATGAAAGACTCGGCTTCTGCTGCTAGCGCCGGAGCTGAGTTAGTTCTGAGAAGGTTTCCCTGGGCTGTCCTTGTCCGGCGGCCTCTGCTGCCGCCTCCGGAGACGCTTCCCGATAGATGGCTACAGGCCGCGGAGGAGGAGGAGGTGGAGTTGCTGCCCTTCCGGAGTCCGCCCCGTGAGGAGAATGGTACTCGACCCACGCAGGCCCGGGTGGAGAATGGGGCGTTGCGGGCGGGCAAGGGACCCTGGGCGGCAAGCGTGTGCGGGGGAGTCCGGTTCCTGGAGGTGGCGGCGTGGGGCTCCGGAGCCCCTGAATTGCCCGCAGACTTCCGGAGTTTGCCCCGGCGGGACGGGGTGTGCGTCGTGGTCGCTGGAAGCCGCGGAGCAGAGCTGGCGCGACCCCTGGGCTGAGCCCGGCCCCGGCCTCTCGCGGCGGGCCGAGGCGCGAGCCGGGGACTGCCTGGCCGGGCTGAGCGGCCGCAGCGCGCCACACGCAGCGCTCGGCTTCCAGGCTCCGCATCTCCCGGGAGCGCGGTCCTCCCGGCGCCAGAAGCTGACAGATAAGGCAGCCAAACGCTCTGCTCAAGTTCACCGTGCGCAAGGAGGGAGGGTTGGGAGGGAACGAAAAAAAAAGGAGGGGGAGTAAAGGACACGGGGTTGGAGTCGTGCCTTGTGGGCTATGCAGCGGGTACGCTACAGGTACACACGCTTCTCGCTGGAGCCAAGGGAAGGGATTGGATGTCGACGGTGGGTCAGATTGGGGATTTTCTTTAGGGAGAATGAAAACATTTTGAGACGCTGATTGTGGGGCCCTGGGCGCCCCACAATCAGCTTCATCCGTTTTTCTAGACAAGAGTTGCTGTGGAGGGGGGGGGAGGGGAGAGGCAGGCAGAGACGCAGAGGCGGTGCATTGCAGCTTTTGATAGAGCCTTTTTTTTTTTCTTTTAAAATTAAGGCCAAGAACCGAACGTGAAGATTTCTTTCAAAAAAAGTCATTAAGATTAGAGAGGTATTCTTTGCTCAGTGCTTGAACTTGATAGGCTTAATGCAAACAACTCTCTCTGCTGGAGTCTGGCAGGTTTACTTTGCTCCACAAACTGATTTCATTGCCATACAAAACTGAAACCAGAGTTTTTAGTCAAGGTACTTGTGCTATTTCTCAGTTAATGGGTGTAGGGAGGGGTTCTGTAGCCAGTGTGTCGCTCTTTTTGTTATTTTTTAAAGGCAGAGATAACAGAGAGGAGAGACAAATCTTGTATCTACTGATTGACTCCTCAGGTAGTTGAGACAGCTGGAGCTGAGCCAGTCGCTGAGCCAGTCCGAGGCCAGGAGGTTTTTCCAGGTCTCCCACATGGGTATAGGGGCCTAAGGACCTGAGCCGCTTCCTCTGCTTTCCCATGCCATCAGCAGGGAGCTGGATGGAAAGTGGAACAGCCAGGATAGGATGTAAACTGGGCCCATGTGGGATGCTGGCATTGCAGGTGGAAGTTTAGCCTAGTATGCCATGACACAGGCTCCTAGGCAAGCTTACTTTTAAACAGCTCATATATTAAAGAAGATCTACTTGTTACCAACATTACCTCATAACACTAGTTAGTGTCTTTGACAATTCAGGCACTGTGATACTTAGCAATCTTCATGGGGGAGTGCATATATGCCAAAAGCAAAAGGTTTGACATACCATTGCAGGGATTACTGTGTCCCTGTCAGAGCAAGAGAAAGTCTTAGTATGCTTGAAAAAGAACTAATGGTACAAGTGACCATGGTAGAGGAAATATTAAGTTGGAATTAGCTTGGAAATAGAAGGAATAATGAATTGGTGGTTTTGTCTTAAGAGAGCTTTAGATAACAAGGGCGTCTTTCGTTTGTTGAAACAGTGCTGTACATAATTTGGAGTAAGTGGAGTGTGGGGTGGCATAGATATTGATGAGTATATTATAGAGACATCGACCAGATTTTTTTTTTTTTACTTTTAGATGTTTACTTTTTTAAAAAAAATTTTAAATTTTTGATGATTTTTACAGTGTTGATTAGGGTCAAGGGCTACAGGTAGGTGGGTGAGATTTCCGCATTCTCTTCTTTTTCTTCCTGTATCTGGGTGAAGGAGAGAGACGAGGAGAGAAGCCACCCCAGCCTCCCAAACGTCTCTGCACCCTGGGATGGAGGGCAGCCACCCGACCCCACCCCAGGGTCCCTGATGTGGGGCATGCTCCGAGGCTCCAGCCCAAGAGATTTTGATAATTCAACAGTTCTGAATTACTGCCTCTACAAACATGATGAAATCTCTCCAGAATCCACTGGCTGACATAGTCCACCTTAGAGTCTCTGTTTGCCCAGAGTTTCACTGCCAACAGGTGGCTGGGGTAGTTGATCAATTTGTTCTGTCCTCCGTCCTCTGTTACCAGGTGTGTTCTGCTGGCTCCAATGGTCTGCCATATCCTCCATGTGCACCTGGATATGCTGTCCACTGCTCTATCTAAGTCACTGAGGAGGCTCAGCTCTGACACAAGCACTCCACAGTTAGACCATGGAACCATTTTTTTTATGGTTGGGGCTCTGAGTCCAGCAATTCATTTTGGGGGGATCCCCACGGAAACTTCATCTGAGATGATCCCAGAACTGATTCTTGTGTGTGCTTACCAAAACAGGGTCTGGCACAGACAATTGCCCAAACCGGCCTACACGCACACTGTTAGTTGCAATTGCTGGTTCAGTTCTGTCTCCAGCCTTGTCTTTTACACAAACCAATGGGTGTTGCAGCCCAGCCCAATCCTGTCCACCACACACTCGGCCTTCACGTACACTAAGGGAGCTGCAGCCTACTCGGAGCAACCCACAATAATTCCCACCGGTCTTGCCCCCTGCCCTGGTTCCTGTGCTTGCCTGTATGTACAGCACGCTGGTCCAATCTGTCCCACATCCCATTCAGCTCTCATATGTGTCAATGGACCAGATTTCTAAAGGTAGTGTATGTCTTACAGAGGAGTTTGAATCTTATTCTGGAGATAATTGGAGACAGTTAAGGAGGCTGAATTGGTGAAAAAGGGGAGATCAGTAAGGAAGAGGCTGTTGCATACTCAGATGAGTGAGATGATCAGTAGAAGGAGCAGATTGAAATTTTTAGGAATTAACATTTTTAGAACTTAGTCATGGGCTTGGCTTGACGGCTTAGTGGTTAAATCCTTACCTCTCAAGTGACAACATCCCATACGGGCATTGGTTTGTGTCCCAGCTGCCCCACTTCTCATCCAGCTCCCTGCTTGTGGCCTGGAAAAGCAGTCGAGGATGGCCGAAAGCTTTGGGACCCTGCACTGATGTGAGAGACCTGGAAGAAGCTCCTGGCTCCTGGCTTCAGATAAACTCAGTTCTGGCTGTTGTGGCCATTTGGGGAGTGAACCCACAGATAGAAGATCTTTGTCTCTCCTTCTCTATGTAAAATCTCCCTTTCCAGTAAAAATAAGTAAGTCTTTAAGAAAAAAAAACAGTATTGATAGGTTTTAAGTAACATAAAGGTCATTCTTAGTAAATTATTTCTAAAGAAGAGGCTGACTGGGTTTGTTAATGGAGTCTCAGACATCTTATCACTTAGAGATTGATATGACTGTCATGCCTTCTGCCTTTGCTTGAGAGTGTTTTATTTCACATGCAATGCCCTTCACTTTTTCCCACAAGACTCAGTTCAGATTCTGGTCCTCTGGCTTTTATAGCTGTTTGCGCAGTGAACCGGAGGAAGGCAGGTCTCTGTTTCTCCTTTTCTCTATAATTGTGCCTTTCGAATAACAATAAAATGAATCTTAACAAAAAATTACTGTGCACATTAAAACCTTTTAGGTGAAGGTATATTGAAAACTGGCACTTATGAACTAGTTGCAGATATTTTTGTCTTGTTCTCTTGATACTTTTTAAAAATTTTTTCAAAAGATTTATTTATTTGAAAGAAGGAGAGGAAGAAAGGAGAAACACAGAAAGGTCTTTCATCAGCTGGTTCCGTCCACAAAACAGCCACAACAACCAAGAGCTGCATGCAAGTCTTTCCCAGATCTGTAGTCCTGGCCTAAGTGCTGGGACCGTCCGCAGCTTTCCCAATCACCACAGGCTGCTGGAAGGGAACTGGAGCAGTCACGATTTAAACTGGCACCCATATAGAATGCTGACGTTGTGAGGAAGCCTTTGAGGTCACTGTTTGGCCACAAAACTGTGCCCCATGTTCTCTTTCTAATTTTCTTTCTTTTTTAATGTTTACTGAAAAAAATACAGGGAGAAAGAGGTTTCACTGACTGTTCACTTCCTGATGCTTACAACAGCCTGAGTTAACCCAGGTCAGTCAGGAATCTAGACCTCAATCTGGATTTCACCTGTAGAGAGATCCTACATAGCATCCTGGTACTTGAGCTATCACCTAGGTCTTGAACCTGAGAGTACCAGGGTTGGATGCATGCAGGCATTCCATCTGCTTTGCTTAATGTTTGCCCCTGCTGTTCTTGAGCAGTGTACTGTGGAAGATTTCAGATGTACAAAGATACCACTGTGTCTATTAGCCTGTTTCAAGTGTTAATGTTGTTCCTCTTATTATGTCTGTTATTATCCCTCATTGGATAATTTTAATGCGGATTGCAGGCGTATATCATCTATAGATACTGAATTTTGTGTATCAGCATGTCTTAAAAAGACAGGACTCAACATAACTTTGGTACTCTTGGTGCACCTAGAATGATTATTAAATATTCAGTAAATTTCCCTAATTATTACTTTTTGTCCAATTGATTTGTTTTAATCAGACTCTGAATAAAGAGCATGATATTTGATTGATAACTCTTTCAGTGTGTATTTCTCCCGGCTTTCTTTTTGGTCTTATGTACAGTTTATTTGTCGACAGACCCTTAGTATTTGCCTTGTAGAATTCCTGCAGCTTAGACTTTGTTGAATGCCTCTCTGAACTTTCATGTATTTTTCCTCTGTATCCTAGCTTTAGTGCTCTAGCATTAATATAAAGAGTTAGTCAGATTGTGGTGTTAGATTTTAGCAATAGCACTTAACAGGTAGTGCTGTGTCTTCTGTTGCATCACATTAAGAGTCACATGTTTTCTGGGCTTTTTGTTTTTGTTTTTTTCATGTTAAGGTTCACCAGTGTATTCATTTTTTATTTGCCTGGTCGCTGACTTGTAAAGCTTCCCACCCATCATTCAT